AATGGTGTGCAGCTGGCCCCCCCCCGCTGCCAGGGGGTGCTGGGGGCGTGCTAGGGGCACTGTCCCCCTCCCCCTTGCTGGCCCTGACTGATGCCTTTGTCTTCTCCAGGGAGAGGTTGGAGCATTAGGAGAGCCCGGTGAGCCGGTGAGGAAACGCGTCTCGGTGCCGCTGCCACCCCGCTGCGGGGCAGGAGCGGACCCTGTCACACTGTGTGCTCTCCCATAGGGCCAGCCCGGCCGTGACGGGATCCCTGGAGCCCGGGGAGACAAGGGGGACACAGGACCCCTGGGCATGCGTGGCCCCAAGGTGAGTTGGTCTCTCTGCTTGCTGGTGCTCTCCCAGCCAGGACCTGTGCCGGCTTGGCATGGCTTTGACTCCCCTCCTCATCCTTGCAGGGTGACCGGGGCATGAAAGGTGCTTGTGGCCTCGATGGGGAAAAGGGTGAGAAGGTGAGTGGGTGCCCGTGGGGTGCTGCAGGAGCCTGGATGGTGCCTGGAGTCTGTGGCCCTTTGGATCCCCTCCACCAGCCAGGGGGAGCAGGGAGACAGCTGAGGCCAGAGCTTGGCCCCATGGCAGGGGCACAGGGTCCCCTCCTCTGCCCACGGCTCTGGTGTAGGCATTGAGGGGTGCAGGACTGACCACCCTGCCTCTCTCCTGCCTGCTATAGGGAGAGCCGGGGATCCCGGGGCGCTCGGGGCTGCCAGGGAGGAAAGGCGAGCCGGTAAGTGCTGTACTGGTGCTGGGGTGGGATCGGGACGCGCAGCCGGTGACTGACGGACATCTGCTTTGTCCCCCAGGGAGAGCTGGGTCTGTTGGGACCACCTGGCATCCCTGGGAAGGAGGGGCTCATGGGACCCAAGGTAGGTCAGGGCAGTGCTGGGAAAAGCTGTGCTGGCACTTCAGCCCCCCGCTGCCTGCCCCCCACTGCCTGCCCCTTCCTTTTCACAGGGTGACCGGGGATTCGATGGGCAGCAGGGAGCCAAAGGAGACCAGGGAGAGAAAGGAGACCGGGTGAGTGGGCTGGAAATGGAGAGTAAGCATTGCACCGCATCGCTTTTACCAGGCTCCGGCCTTGGTCCAAAGCACATCAGAGCCCGATGCTCCCAGAAGAGCTGTCCGGCACCACTCTAAATTGTGTCACAAAACTATGAGTGACAACAAATCCCTGCTCTATACAAGAAGGCACCAGTGCCGGTGCTTCAGGGATACCCAGCTGCGGGGTCAGAGGATGCCCGTGGCACCTGCTCTGGGGCAGGGGGGCTCCGACACCCCTGGGCCTCACCCTCTGCTTCCCGCAGGGCGCTCCAGGCATTATTGGTGGCCCTGGTCCCCGGGGCAGCGACGGTGCTCCCGGACCACCCGGACCTCCAGGAAGTGTTGGACCACGAGGTCCTGAGGGCATGCAGGGCCAGAAGGTGAGTGCCCACCACAGGTCCCCTCTCCAGGTGCTGTGAGGGGAGGAGAGCCCTGTCTCTGGAGCACATGAGGGGGTGGTGGCATCAGGAGCCATGTTGCAGCTCTGTCCCTGCCCTGCCAGTTCACTGCTTTGGGGTCCTCCCTTGTGTGCCTGTACCTAGGGGATGGGAGCCTAGGGGGTTGGGACCCTGCTTGTCCTGGGGCTGGGCTAGACCCATCCCCGTTCCCATCCTCACCTGTGCAGGTCTTCCTGGGGTGCAGGGATGGGGAAAGCAGCACATCTGTGGCACTGGGGAGGGCAGAAAGGCTCCAGAGCTTCCAGGCATACCCTGAGCACGTATCCTTTGCAGGGGGAGAGAGGACCCCCTGGACAGTCAGTGCCGGGGGCTCGTGGCGTGCCAGGTATTCCCGGCGAGAGAGGAGAGCAGGTGGGTGAGCGGGTGCCTAGCCCTGGGTGGGTGAGCCCCAGCCAGGGCCATCCTCCCACCTCCCCTCTGCTTGTCCCTAGGGCAGTCCCGGCACCCAGGGGCTCCGTGGGGAGAAGGGGGAGCCGGGCATGACGGTAAGGAGCCGGGAGGGAGCTGGCATGGGCTTGCAGCGCTCGGGTCACCGGCGTGGGAATGGGTGCTCAATCCATCCCACTGCTGCTGATGGAGGGGCTTCCCCTACCTCCGGGATCTGCTCCGGCATGTGGGCCTGGGGAAAGGGTTTTTCCTCTTCTCTAATTGCACCATCCCCTGTTGCGACATGGGTCCTTCGCCCCTCCGTGTGCCCTGCAGGAGGAAGAGATCCGCGCCTTCGTCAGGCAGGAGATGAACCAGCACTGTGGTGAGCATCCCCCACTGCAGTGCCCTGGGGCCGGGGGTCTGGCCCCTGCTGCCCCT